AGGAAGGTTAAACTTAAAAAAAAATGTAGTTGCAATGAAACGTTCACCAATCAAATATTCACACAGAATATAATAGACCTTTCTTACTATGGTCCCTATGGTATAGTGAAAATCACAATTGGAGTCCATGTTTTCTAAATCGGGCACCACCAATCCTCATGGTTTCATTTTCTTGTAGCTTTGGTCCCTCGGGCTAACTCTATTAGCAAAATGCCATCAAAGACTTGTTAAATACCAATTTACACATCTTATGTCTTTTTCTTATTTTTGATATTTGTAACTATAAATTAACTAATGTCCATCCCTCACAGGCTCACACACATCCATTCCAATTTCTACATGATGTGTGATCATTGACCACTACGTAACCTAAATCAATCACCACCTCCATCCACAGCAACCATCGGTTTCAATGTATTAATGGAATTGTTTGAATTTGAGAAAAGTGTATGATTTGGATTTTAGCGGATGAATCCAAACAAATTCCATAAAGTTTTAAAGCAGTAAAAGGTAGTATTTATAGATTGTTGTATTGTGTATGGATGGTATCTAAAGTATCAAGTGGCGATATAGTTTTAGAAGAAGAATCAACAAAAGGTAATCAAATATGTTTATTTATATAACTACGAATAAAAAAAAGTGAACATTCTTTCACAGTTTCACACCAGCTTTGGTTGGTGAGATCATATTGATTAATAACGCCCATATATTTATTCTCTTTTTTTTTTTTTTTTTTGAAAAATTAAAAGGTTTTCAAATTTATCATTAATTTTGCAAATGTTATTTACAAATTAGTGAAATCATTTTTAGGGAAACTAATTATATTTAACAAGAAATATTTATATAAACGTAGCGGGTAAACGGGCAACAAACTGTACCGCAACCCCTTTTTGGATGTCAAAACCAATTTTTTTAAAAACAACATCTATAGATCACTATAACCTTGGCTACCTTGGCTAAGATGAATATATTACAAGTAAATGACTTGTGTACGAGCCTCACAATTTGTATTTTTTTTAATATTTTGATGAGGTATCATTTTAGCTACGTGTCATTTCAACGTGGTTAATGTTAAAATGTGACAAAAAAAAAAAAAAAAAAAAAAAAAAAAAAAAAAAAAAACCTCATTGACCTTAACCCTAAACTAAAAGAACCTCCAATAGCCAGATGAATATTTAATAACACGTTTTAAATGTTGTAAATACATATAAAATAAAAACATGTTAAAATTGTTCATTATCGCCCATAGACCATGGCACCATGCTTATATAAAATGCCACCACCTACAAGAAAGTACACATGGTTAACTAACAAATATATCTATAGAGTAAATGATTAAATTAATTCGTTACGTTCACTGGGAAAATAGGATCCAAGCACTATTTCTTTACCAGGCCCGATGCTCGATTGAAAAAGTGACAAGTCCACTAATACAAAATTCCAACATTGATGGGCCAGTCTCTTTAATAAAATGCTTTTAATTTTTAAGTAAAAGGACATCTGTTTAGTAATGGGACTAATAAGACATCGTTCACTTTTATTTTTTACTGCTAAAATTACTTTTTAGATAGTATTCGGTTTTCAATACACAAATTCTTATATTTGTTTTTTAATTATAAAAATATCTATATTTCACGAAATACGTTTATATTATTGTAAAAACAAATTACTAAAATCATCAATGTGGTTTGGGTAAAATAACACGTTGGGTTCCTAACTTTTTTTTTGCGCTCGAACTGTCCATACTGTTTAATTTTGTTGCGTTGTTGATCCCTCATAAACATTTAAAAAAAAAAACTATAATACCTTTTATATATTTTTCCCTTTTATTTGTTATTATTTATTAAATAAAAGATGTATTACTATAATAGATCACACCATCACCATCACCTAACCATCACATACTACCATCAAAAATCGACAAGCCACCAGAAACCACCACGGGTGACCGCTAACCACCACCTGCCAACTTCTCACCCATCACCTCTAGTAACCACCATTTCCTGATGACATTTATAGACATATAGACCCACTACCATCACTACAACCACACAACCACCGGTCACCATTGTCACCACCCACCCATTCTGGCAACATCATTACCCACCTATCCCGACAACACCACCACCGATCAGGTGACACCCCATTTACCTCCAATAACCACCATGTTCACCTCCGACCATAACCATCATTCACTTCCTGCAACCAAAATCGATCACCACATGGAGTAAATCAAAATCAAACCAAAACCAAGATTAAAACTCAGAAATCAAAATCAAACCACGATCAAATCCTAAAATCAAAACCTAACCAAAGTCAAATCCTGAAATCCTGAATCATAACATAAATTGAAATCAAAACCAAATTCGAAAATCATAACCTATAACATAAACCTAACCTGAAATCAATGATGAAATACCATAAATCAAATCGAAAAACAAATGAAGTTAAATTATGTTGTATTTGAAACCCATGATGTCGGCGTATTAACACAATCGGGTTAATCCCAAAATGCAACAACTCACCTGATATCCCATAAATCAAAGACCGTTTTTCTGAATGATGCAATGAATGGAAGTCGATTTCTCCAGATGAAATCGATGAGGTCAGAGGAATAAGAAGAAATAGTGTTAGATGGGAACGTGTGAACGCAAAGAAAAACAACGGAGTTGCATGTTTCTGACGGCTTTACAATTGCAGGTTTCCGAAGGCGTTAGGGTTGCAAGTTTCCGATGAGGTCAGCGGAACAAGAAGAAATGGTGTTAGATGGGAACGGGTGAAGGTGGAGAAAAATAACAGAGTTGCAAGTTTCCGGTGGCTTTATAGTTGCAAGTTTTGGAGGCGTTAGGGTTGCAAATTTCCGATAAAGTCAGCACAACAAAAAGAAATGGTGTTAGATAGGAACGTGTGAAGGCAAAGAAAAACAACAGAGTTGCAGGTTTCCAACGGCGTTAGGGTTGCAGGTTTCCAATGTCTTTACAGTTAGGGTTGCACTCTCCCGGAGGTGGTGTTTACATGCTAGCTGATGACGATCGTGACTTTCGGGAGGAGATGGCTCCAATGGGGAGTGGAGATGAAGATCGTTGCTTCAAGGTGGAGTTCAGGAGGAAAGATTTATGGCTTGAATTGTAGATGGGAAGGGGTAGACGAGGGGTTTGGAGTCGGAGTGGCGGGGACGTATGAGACCCAACTTTTTTTAATAGGGAGGAAAATCGTTCCAAAAAGGAACTACGAGGATAGTCTGAGTGCAAAATAAAAATTATGAACCAAACATGCTATTTTAATTAAACTACAAGGACGATTTCATTAATTCATTCTATTGTAAAATTCATAAAACAAATTACCTAATCATCTTGTGTTTGGTCCTAAGTGTTTTCTTTTTTTGCACTCAGATAGTCCTTAACATTTGATTTTATTGCGTTTTTTGTCCCTCATAGAAATGAAAAGACTATATTGCCCTTTGTATTTTCTTTTTTCTTTTTGATTATTTATTAATTATAAAAAATTAAATAACTAATATAGGTCCCACTCTCTACCCAATCACCCCCCTAATCTTCTCTCTTCCTTATTTCTCTGATTAGTTAAAGAATGTGCTTTACAAACCAACCCCCACCACCGGAACCACCATTCACCTTCAGAAATTAGAACCACCGTATCTCTTCAGTCGGTCGCCGTCGAAACCAACGGATCGCTACCGGAAACACCAAAACGTCGCCATCACCAACTTCTCTCTACCCTGATCTCTCGTTCGAAACCTTTGCAATCGCCATCTCCAGTTCTCTCTACTTCGCTCTCTCACTGGAAACCGATGTCGCCTCTATCATCAGTTCTTTCTACTCCATCTTCTTTCCCTCTTCGTCAAATCTGCTTGTTTACGGTCAATGAAAGTGGTGGTGGCTTCAAGGTGGTGACGGGTTTACGGTCAATGGTAGTGGGAGGAGGAGAAGTGGACAGATGTAGTCTTTCCGGTGGCGGTCCCACGAAGGGGAGAAAATGGTGGTCTAGAGTGTTTTAGGGTTTTCAATGGTGGGAAGGTTTAGAAGATGACTATAGGAGGAATGGTTATGCAATATACCATTTTAATTTGTTTTATTAAAAAAAATATAAACCAATAACAAAACTAAGTAAAAAAGAAATTTGAATAGGCAAAGTGGTCATTCCAAATTGGTCCGGGACGAAAAACAAAATCAAATGTGGACTGTCCCGAATGCCAAAAGAAACTTAGGGACCAAACGTGAAATTACAACAAACCATAGGGACGATTTCAGTAATTTGTTCGAATTCATAATTTTCCAAAAGTTTTTTACTGGTGGGAACAATTCAAAAAGTGAATTCGCATCACAAAATGATTTTCCAATGCTATCAGATACGAAACAGGTGTTCATTTTGTATGATAGATCAAATGACCATTTTATTTATGCATTCCTTCATTTTAGTTGTGTTTTCATTTTCTCTAAAATTTACAGATTTTCGCTTAATAAAAAACTGTTAGATATGATAGGCTGTAGAAAAATTGCAACAATACACATTTTTATTTAGTTATTTACAATAGCAACATGTTTGTAACTACCGACTTCATATTGATTTATGGTATGTCATCCATATTAAGTCGATATATCAACAGATGAGTCTCAAACATGTATAATGCCAATTATGCATATTAATACCCAAAAAAAACAATGCATGATTGTGGTTGTGGGTAGCTAAAGGTTTACACCTACAGGAAACTTCATTTTGGCATTTTATCAAACACTTATCTAGCATGCACGTTAAACTACCCAATGGAGACTATTCCAATCAATCAATTATATAAAGAAAACAAACTGAGGAAAGAAAGAAATACATACCTTTTTCAGATTAGCTTGATTTTGACAATGAAGATTTGAACAATGTTTATGTTTACAATTGTAGCAAACTGAGAATTAAATTACATTTCAACTCCAAACCACAGTAACATCTTTATGGATTCTAAACAATATAACTCTTGATTCAATTAGAGACTATAAAAGTGCTTCAGCTCCAGCAACAATCTCCAGTATTTCATTGGTAATCTTAGTCTGTCTTTGACGATTATAAGCATTTGAAAGATCCTTCTGCAACTCAAGTGCATTATCAGTAGCATTACTCATTGCATTCATCCTGGAAGCAAGCTCACTTGCTAATGACTCCTGTAACGCCCTCAATATCTGATTGTTCAAATAAAGAGGCATCAATGCATCAAGAATCTGAACAGGGTCTTGTTCAAACTCCATATTCGGTAAAAAACCCTCCTTTTTCCTCATCAATTTATCCCTCTCCACTGCTAATTTCCCCTCTTTTGTAGTTAATCTAAAAAACTCATCTTCATTTGCATCAACACAATTACCATTTCCGTCTACAACTTCTCCTTTAGCAGACAAAGGAAGCAATGTTTGAATCACAGGATTAGATTTCACCAAAGAAACGAATTTTGTATACAGAAGTTCCACTTTATCAACCTCTTCACTTACAAACAAGGAGAACACATCATCTGCAATCACCTGAGAGTCTTTTACACTCGGAAAACCCTCTCCTTCAATGAACCTATCAACCGAAACACTAGGTCTTCTTAAGAAATACGAATTCCCCTTCTTCCCAACACTAATAACAGTGTAATCAAGTCCGAGATTCTTCAATTCAGCAATTCGGGTTTCAGCTTTTCGAAGAATAATATTGTTGAAACCCCCACATAGACCTCTTTCTCCACTTATTACAACAAGGGCGACTTTTTTGACAGGTCTAATGTCTGTTAAAGGTATGTCAACATCTTCCAATTGGCACTGTTGGTTGATGCTATAGATAACATCGATAAGTGCTTCGGAGAATGGTCGGCCATTAACAACTGCTTCTTGGGCTCTTCGGACCTTTGCTGCTGCTACGAGTTTCATTGCTTCTGTTATTTTCTGTGCGTTTTTCACGGTGGCGATACGTTGGCGGATGTCCCGAAGATTGCAGTTGATTGAAGGGAAATGTGATAATCTTGAAGGGTGAGAGATATTGGATTGAAATAGCTTCCAATGATGTTGAAGAAATACATGAGAGGAATTGTGAATCTGGTGATTGGAAGATATACATGACGTTGAGGGCTTAAGTTGGGACATTGATTTTGAATCAATCTTGCTAGGGTTTAAGAGGAATTGCGTTTGACAAGGTTAGGAGATACAGTGTTGTTTGGTAACCTTTTAAAAGAAACAACTTCAACAAATACACCAAATCAAGATAAAGCAAAAATCGTCTGATTGAAAAGCGAGAATTCGATTACCACATCTCGGAAGAATCCCTGCCCTATAATTCCTCCATGCCCATCTCTGACGAACCCCATCTCCTTCGTGTGGTTCTGTTCCAGTTACCGGTTCCAGCAGCACCACGCCGAAGCTGATACAAAACCTCTCATTTACACTTATAGTTTACTCTGGTTTTAGATCTAACCTCTGAAGTCGAAGTGTGAAGATGGCAAGGTTGTCTGCTTTGGGGAAGACAGCGACGATGAAGACGGTGGCTTCCGGTAAGGACGACGGCGACGGTGCTAGGTGGCTGATGAAGGTTAATCTGGGAGAAAGACGGAGGCGGCAATAAATAAGAAAAGATAAAGATGAGGGTAATAAGGGAATTCTCTCGATCTTAATGGGTCACTATGAATTTCTTCCATCTTAATGGTTCATATGTTTTGCACGTTGAGTTTTTATTTTATATTTTTGGAAAAAATTTATTTTAGTCTAAAAAAGAAAAATTCTAAATAAAAAAAATTTGAATATTTGATTTTACACTATATTTCCTGTTAAAATAAAAAAAAAAAAAATTTGTTAATTTGAACCAAAATAAAATAATTGAGACTTTTATGTTCGGGTTTTTTTTTTTTTTTTTTTTTGACTAAAATGAAAGTTTTTCAAAAATATTGAGATTTTTCTAACAATTTTCCTAGATTTTTTACAATAAATTGTAAATTTAATATAAGGAAATTGACTAATCTAACCATTTTACAATGATATTTTAAAAATACCATCGTAACAGTTATAGGATCCGATCCGGTTTTGTGATCCCCATATAAATATTGTTTCGAAGTTCATTTGGACGTTACTTGTGCTTGAACATACATTTCGAAGACCGTTTCAAACTCAGTAATTATGGACTATCAATCCAACTGCAAATGTTTTCGTCTAGCGGTGATGAGTATCAATTTTTATATGTAAGTTTATAATTATATGTATTTAATTTAGACTGTACGTTAAAACATACATAATTTATGCAATTATATATGTATGATAGATCAAAAAATATTATAAATATCCTCATTTTGACTAGTTTGAAATGGATCCAGAATTTGTATAACACGTCCGCAATACTAAGAACTCATTCGGAATACGAGGAACAATTCTGGAATATGGATCTAGAGCGTTTTTATTCGGAATCTTGATCCATAGTGTTTTCATCATGAATACGTATCTAGAAAAGGGATCTGGAATTGTGATCAAGAATTTTGATACGGAATTCCAATTCGGAATTGTGTATTCCAGAATGTCCTCTAGAACATCCATACAAAAATGCTTAATTAATGATTCTTTTAAATTGTGCAGCATGATAGAACATACGAAGTGGTTGTGACTACAACATGCAGGTATGAACTTGAGCGGGAAATCATGGCTCATTTACAAAATCGAGCAGTTTATGCGGCCATGTTTAGGCAATCATGTTTTGGTGATGATGTGAACATGTCGATGGTGTGGAAGTCACTCTTTACACTGTTACTATCTTATATGCAAGGAGTATACTACTTTATCTCTAGTTGACCTATATGAGCTTCTATTTTCAAAACACAACTATCAGGTTTGCTTTGATAGGAAAACATTATGCTTGATTATCGGCTTGCGGTTTAGGGAACATTTCCCCCTACTTCAGATTTTGCACAATAGATGTTGCAGATTACCATGATATTTGATTTATAGTTTTTTTTGTGCATGATTTGTAACATCCATAAAATTTAAACTTTTCAAAACAACTCTTTTTCTATGGAAGTGTTTACAAAACCCATTGTTTCCAAAACATTATTAAAATCAGAATCGTTCTCAACATAGTTTTCAAAACTTTGTCATTATAAGAGTATCCCAAAAATCATAAGTCCAAAAACGCGAGGATGTGTACGGTTATGCCTTCACCTTGACAAAATCTGTTGAAGTACCTAAAACCATAAACCAAAACTGTAAGCATGAAGTACGGTGAGTTCCCCCAAAGTACCAACACACAATCAGATAACATATACCAACAACAACATGCATACATAGCCTTCAGCCTGTCTAGACGCCTCACCAGGCCTTCAGCCTGTCTGGACCGCTCACATAACCTTCAGCATGTCTGGATCGCCTCACCGGGCATGCAGCTTGTTTGGACCGTTCTCCGGGCCCTCGCCCTGACTGGTACGCTCCACTAGCCTACAACCTATCCAGGCCACCCTGGGTCTGTTAGCCTTCAGCACTAAGCAGGACTGCCTCAACCCAATTATACACACAAACCATGTCGACATATACATAAGAGATAAGCATACATATAACATACCGATATACATATCACCAAGTTTGTTGACTGACATCACAAAGCAGTACAGTCTCAACCCAACCACACATAACATTAACACATGCGACTGGTAAACATATAGCCAGAACAAATAACAAGCAGATCACTAAGCATAGAATAATCCTATCTGCCAGAATACTTATCTAACAGATCATAACAACATTGCAACATACTCAATATCAACAATCCAAGGAATGCATGGTCGTATATATTCAAAGGTAAGATAGTCACCCGGACAAATGATCCCACTCTAGAACCACAACCAAACGAGGAACAGGTAAGAGAGCTTGGATCAAGAGTCTTCAGCCTATCCTACATGACTATATACAATCCCTTAGGTACCCTTCTAACCAAAACTAGTGGGCCAGAATTGGTGCCTTCAACCCACTTGTATAGTGAGGCAAAACTCACCTTGGATGTTGAACTTCACTGCAAGAATTCTTAGATGTTGCCCCGACGACACCTCCGATCTATCAGATCAAAATAATACCCATTTAACAATTGGGTTTCATTGTAACTCCCACCATCCATACTTTGGGTAAAATGACCATTTTACCCCTAACCCAACATGAACCAAAACTGAGGCCCCATTTCCATTAACCAAAAGGTCCACAAAGGCCCATAAGTGGCCTAATTTTCCAAATTGGGCCCAACCTCATATGAGTCTTATCCTAAGCTCATAATTTCCTCTATTACAATTTAGGTCACCTCAAGTACCCCCTTAGGACAACTTGGTCAAAAACAAAAGTCAAAAACTCAAGGTCAACGACCCGAGTTACCCCAACTCGCCGAGTTGTTCCTTCAACTCGCTGTGTTTTTCCATTTAACTGCAAATTCAGGAAAAACTGATCCAACTCGTCGAGTTTATCAATAAACTCGCCGAGTCCGCTCAAAACCCAACAGCTTAATACAATAAGCACTTAATCCATAACGACATGACCCCAAAACCTAGATTTAACTTCCTTGAGCTGGAAAACCACGTAAAGTTGCCAACTTTACATTCATGCATGTCTAAATGAAGCTATTAAGCTTGAAATGGACTTAAGGATTGACTTAATGCATGCATGATGTAACATCCATAAAATTTCATACATTTTAAACTTTTCAAAACAACCATTTTTCTATAGAAGTGTTTACAAAATTGTTGCTCCTAAAATCATTATTTAAAAATCAGAATCTCTTTCAACATAGTTTTCAAAACATTCACATTATTAGAGTTTCCCAAAAATCATAAGTCTAAAACACGAGGATGTGTACGGTCACGCTTTCACCTTGCCACAATCCATTGAATTACCTGGAACCATAAACCGAAACGGTAAACATGAAGCTTAGTGAGTTCCCCCAAAGTACCAACACCCAAACAGATAACATATACAAATAACAACATGCATACAGAGCCTTCAACCTATATGGACCGCTCACAGAACCTTCATCATGTCTGGACCACCTCACCGGGCCTTCAGCTTGTCTGGACCATCTCCAGGCCTTCGACCTGACCGGTCAGCCTTACAGGCCTTTAGTCTATCTGGGTCGCCCTGGGTCTGTTGGCCTTCAACACAAAGCAGTTCCGTTTCAACCCAACCACACACATAAACCATGTCGACATATACATAAAAAATAAGCATACATATAATGTACTGATATAAAGATTATCGGGTTTGTTGACTGGCAGCACCAAGCAGTATAGTCTCAACCCAACCACACTACATCAACACATGTTACTGGAAAACATATAGCCAGAACAGATAACAGGCAGATCTAACAGATCACTAAGCATAACATCATCCTATCTATCAGGATACTGATCTAACAAATCATAACAACATAGCAACATCTTATCTTCCAGGATACTGATCTAAGAGATCATAACAATACAATAGCATGCATAACAGGATATCAATCCAATGGACCAGCATTGGTGTCTTCGACCCATGGGTACAGTGAGGACAACTCACCTTGAATGCAGAAGCTCTCCGAAAGAAAATCCCTAGCTGCTGCCCTACCGCTTTTCGAGTTATCAATACCAACAACACACCCAGTTAGCAATTGGTTTCCATTATATAATCCATAATCCATACTTGGGGTAAAATGAACATTTTTACCCCTGACCTAACATGAACCAAAACTGAGGACCAAAACCAAAAGATCCACAAATCCACTAATTGCCCAAATTTCCAAATTAGGCCCCACCCCATATGGGCCTTTGTCACACCCCAAAACTGAGAACGCCGGAAACGTTCTGGGGCGGAGGACGTCATGTAATGTATCACAACAATGCAAAGTAGTAAACAAGCAACAACATCATCCATTGCATTAATAGTATAATTTTAAATACATGCGTGTTCTTTCATAGTATAAAACAACATAATGAATGTTCAAAATAAAAGACGAGTCTGATTGCTCTGTCTTCACAAAACCTGGTTGTCGTACCTGTCTATTTGTGACCTGAGAATACATTTTATTTTGAAAGCGAGTATCAGCAATGAAGCTGGTAAATTTATAAGTATTAATGTGTCTTTGGTTTGTAAAGCTG